ATCAAGATCATGCTCTTGCTTTCTCTCTTTGTATTTTTTGTATTGCTTATGTTTTTCAACTTGAGGTTACTTTCATAATTATAGATGAACATTCTTAACTGATTTCAGGCTGTCCAATTGAAATTTTGTTGTATGAAGGTCTCCTAAACAGTCTTCTCCAAATAGTCAAGACAGAACAGGGCCTTCGAAACCTCAATCATTTTCAGAGTCTATCAAATCTAAATTCAATGCAGTGTCAATGAGGTACTAATTATTTGGAAACATTTGACATTTTTGATAACATGTACTGTTGACAAATCCATGCTCGTATGCTCATGAATTGATTTTCACCCACTTCCCTTTCCAGATATAAAGTGTCAATTTCAAAGAGTACTAGTGGATGGAAAGAAAGATTTTTTTTCTGGCAATACTACCATGGCAGATCTAGGTTCTGAAGTTGGAAGAGAGGTCAATGCTGGAATTGCGACAGTATCTCGCTTGATGGAGCGTCTAGAAACCAGAGATGATGATAGAACCTCTTCTGTATTAAATAATGTGGAGGACGGTTCAGTTGCAGAATCTAACAATCAGCAAGTACCGGAGGTTGGTGGCTGCAATCCAATGACTGATCCCAATACCAATATGCAAGCTTCACGTGCTGCTAGTTCTGACTCAGTTTAAGTACCACTACACAAACTTATTATCAACATTAAAAGAAAAGTATGTTTTGATTTGGATTTCATTTCTTACAGCATTTGGTGATGAATTTGTGAAAATCTTGTAACTACTGAACATGTACACTGTTGCATTATTCACAAACCAGTTCAAAAAGACTCTGTTTTACATCATTTGGTTGCATGCATCCGTTACTCTTGGATAACTGATGCTTTTTTTTTTTTTAAGTTGTTTTCATCAAATATGCGATGGTGCATTCTTCTTTCTGTTTTTTCTTTTATCCAATTATCCAAGCATTTTGTTAAATGCTTCTTTCTGGTTTTATTGGTTGATCCCTAGTCCTTATAATTTACATTGTATTGAACAATGCAAATATAGTTCATAGGTATTCTACTTCCACATGTTCATTATCATTTGCCAAAAGTTCAAGCAGCAGTAACAGCTTGTTTTTTGAAGACCAGTACAGCCATTTGGTGACAGTTTCCATTTCATTGTTACAATAATGTTACAATAATTCACTATTATCGTAGTGAATTGCTATACTAGATGTCATTGATTTTCCATCCATCTGGGCTATAATTTGTGAAACAAGACAGATCTCTAGAACTATGGAATTTATGGGAAAAAACAGTCTGAATATTTGTGAAGATTTGTCATATTTCATGGGAGAAGCATTTAGCAGTCCAGGTAACCTTCAAAACCCCAAGCAAATAAGGTACCCTTGTTCACTATCATACCGTTACCTGTTCCTACTCAGCATTGAACCATATGTGCATTAGTGGAGCACAAGTAAATACAGTAGGCAGGTGTGCAACTAGGTGTTCTAGGTGAATTCCTGAGGCAAATCGGTTTGAGACTAAAGTTACTCTATTGCAGGGGATGAACACGTAGCAGTCCACATATCCTATAAAATTCCAAGTAAATAAGCATATTCTTGGATTTGTACTTTTACCTATTCCTATCTGATTTGCATCAAGATGACAAGTAAAAACAGAAGGCAGGTTGCAGCAAGGTGTTTTTTTTGTGGATTCTCAAGCCAAATTGCTTTTTAAGTTAAACCAACCTTGAGCCTTAATTTTCGTCTCACAACTATTGTTATAGCTGTAGTTGAAGTATCCACTGCTTGTATCTATTTTTATAAAGAAAGGAGAAAAGGAAGACCAGGTTATTGCTTAAGCAAAAGAGTTATTGTATTGTTTCAGAAACAATAGATAATCATCTATTGTTGCAGTTTCTCTTTCCTTTCTTTTAACCTTTTTGGACTTAAATAGAAGTGGTAGGTTACAAGACACAGGTTCATCCTGTTTATCATCTTGAAAGGGTAACTCCACAAAGAAAATAACACTTGGGTGATTCAGCATACCAGATCTTTCAGCTGTTGATGGTCCGTGTCTAAGATTGGTAGCACAAACAGGTGATCCTTGGTATGTTTACAGGGCCTAATCCTAACAGTAATTGCAGCTTGCACTCTTTGGTGATGGCCCCGTGGTGTAATAGTTCGATGTCCTTTTTAAAGGACTGTCTAGTTCAACTTACGTTAGCTGTGCAAAGATTTGATGGCTGGCCTGAGCATTTTCAGGGAATAAACAGTGAATTAGCAGGAAAGAGTGATAATTTGATTAGCGCAACTTCATCCCATCAATTCAAAAAGAAGGAAAATGTTAATAAAAATCCAGCTCGAGAGAGGTTCTTGCCTTGTGGCTTCAAGATTCTCTAAAAATCCCATTCGGGGACAAGGAGTACACCTTTGAGCAGCTGGTCCAATGTGGTTTGGTTTGGCAAATAGAGCTCTTTTCCTGGTTGAAGTTTGAGCTCTCTAGTTTTCTTCGGACTTTAGCTGATTTATATTTCTTACTCCTGCTACCATAAATGGGTGGACCTTTAGCTCTGCATCATTGCGCTTAAGGTGAATGAGCTCTCTGGGTATTTCGATTGGAAGTTTCTCTTGTTAATAAATGCAATGAATTTAAGAAAATGGTGCGAAGATTTGTTAATTGAGCCAACAGAAACCAGTAGAAATGCCATGACCCAGATAGAGTAGCAGGCATGAACATTATACCTGCATAAAATTCTAAATCTCCTGCTAAGGCATGGTTCTGGGTTGTTGTCACTTGGTATTTTTATTACCTGTGCTCTTGTCTGTTCTTTCAAAGTGATTTGCCATTTTCCAGTGAGAATTGTGAAGTCAAATGAGCGTAGCCTGCTTTCTGGTATTTTTATTCCTAATGCTGCTTTTTGTTTCTTCCCCTTCGTTTTAATTTGACAATGGAATGCCCGATTTTCTGGTTAGAATTACGGCTTTATTAATGCTCACATAATGTCCTCTTTGCAGGTATAGGATGCTATGGATGAGATGATTTGCCCCCCAATCTTCAAAGCTACCCGATAGTCATGTTATCGAAAGGGAAACGGAATGGCAAGTCAGATGTGATTTAGAATAAAGAACTAGAGCAAATGGTCGTCTTCCATTCGAACACCTATTCCAGTAGGCGGTTGAAAATCAGTTTACGAGGATGACCTTGAGAACAATTCTAATCCATGTGTAGGCGTGCTAATATTCAAGTTACAATTGACTTGAAACTTTGGGTAAATTCTTTACGTTTTCAGTTAAGAAACTAAAGTTGGCCATGTGTGATTGTGAATTAGTTTATTTAATCCATGTAGTCTTTTCTCAGCATGCTAGTTTTGCTGAAACGCCTTACTTTCATCTGCATCTCAAATTGATTATGCAACATTTATTTGGAATGGCCCTTACTTTTGAGCCTTGAGGCTGAGCTGCACAAGAGAAGCCCTTTAAAGAAAAAAACTTTAAGTAACAACGATGCACGCTTCCATTTCGAGTGTTCTATAAACAGAATCTCATAATTTGGTAGCACAAGACAAATCTCACTACTATAAATGAGAAGCAAACCATACCCATTGTTAGATCAGTTACACGCTTCAACAGTACCTGCTGCTCCTCACGTAATTTTAGTTACTAATTACAGGTGAAGCTGCCACTTCTTGAGCGCAACTTGGCAGAGATGAGGAATCCAATTATGACCCCAAACCATGTCATACTAAAGACAGATCCTTACTGAATCAGATGGGGAAAAAAGGGCATTAAACTACATAACACAGTAGATATTGTATAAACAGAAGTGTAATTCAAGGTAAAACGAATTTCAGTTGAATAAAAATCCTGCAGCCAGAGTACATGCACATGTCAAAAAAGCGCAAGGAAACTTATTATTATCATCAACAGCACCCAAACTGCATTCTTATCGATTAGGATCCTAGGCAAGGAACAATGATAGTAAATCCATGATATTTTCAAGATTCTAGCATAAAACACAAGTTATGCAAATTGCCATTACATTTTCTGCAGAGGAGCATTTATATTATTGTTGAAAAGGTGAACGACTCTTCGGTGAAGCTCCACGTTCAACCAACAGTCCAACTTAAGACTACTCTCCACATTTTTTCTCCCACCACTCAATGAACTTAACCTGTGCTGCCATGGTATCCAAACTGTAGAGTTGTAGCCAGTGGTTTCCAACTTCATGTCCAAATGTCCAACCAAAAACACCTCCAGCTAGAAAGGACAGCCCAGCACCTGTTAAATATGATTAGGGTAAGAAGCTAGACAATTTTTCATAACTAAGAAAACATGATAGAACACCTTTTCTTTCTGCAAGTTTCTGTTAATGATAATTGGCCTGTTTTCACTGTGAAACTAAAGAAACTCAGTTCATTTGCAGGCGCATAAATACATCTGGGAAGCTGGTCCAGTACATTGTTATATAATAATGATTTTTCCACCATCTGTCATGCCAATAAAAACTCTAAACATGTAAAGAAAAAGGAACAAAAAAGACAAGGCTGAGGATATGATTCCACTGTCCTATAATTTCTATGTCCCTATAAATCATATTTATGCATATTTTAAGCATACTGGATTTGCCTGAAACACAATCCTCAAAAGTACAAGTCTCTTGCAAGTTACTTAGCAATCAACAGTGGAATCAGGTTTCACTAAAAGATAAACTAACATGTGCAACTGAAAACAGAAATCATTGTGATATGGCTCAATCGAAATAATAAAATTTGAATCCTCATTCATGCTTAAGTTACTGGACACATTCAATTCCAAGACTATATTTACAATAAAAAATAGAGTGAGGAGGCAGTGGACTACCATGCAAGCTCCTTGAATATTTCCAGGCAACACCTGCTGTTGATACTGCTCCAATTACACTTCCTGTAAGTCCAAAGTTTACTGCTTCCCTAGCAGTTCTCAGCTGAAAAAGAAGACGACTTTATTCTAGCTTTTCCATAAATAAAGATCAAGCAGTAAACATGCTACAAAACAGGAACCATCAGAACATATGGAATGATAGTTATCCTAGTATCTGCCTTCTTCTGTAGGAAAACTTTATATTTTATGAAAACTCAGTAAACCCTGATCCAATAAATTGATTTGTACAACAAGGTTCATCAGAGGAAGAGTTTCAGCCATTTTCAACCCAGTCAAGAGATTGCAAACAAATACTTCACAAAAAGAAAAAAATACAGTGATAACAAAATCCCCAGCAGTAATTATATCAGATGCTTGGTAAAAGTGAAATTGATGGGCATCCAAGAAACAATACATGAATAATGCAAACATGGGGGCAAGATTTGGCAGTAATTTATAAATTGAGTCAGTAAAGATTAGGTATGCATATTGCATACAACAAGAACGGTTAGCAGAAATGATGCCATAGATTTTATGTAAGAATTTTAAGGAATCCATGATATGATAAGTGATAAAAAAAGCAGCCAAATATTGCCAGAGCACACTTAATTCATGCACATATTGAAGTCAGGTGTAAGGGCCCAAGAGGTTCGAAGGAAACAACAAAAACATTTTTAAATGTCCATTGACTGATAGCCATCAAAAAATGAGAACAAACCAGGGAGTTAAAAGAAAACACTCCAAACACATATAGCTCTATTCTCGCCCTAGTAATTAATCAACACAAATAAATTCTGTTATGAGGCATTTTGGACACAAATACGTACAAATTGTCATCTTAAAAACTCAGCTTTTATAAAAGAATAACAAAACAAATGTATTCTTTTTAGCAAGAAGTTAAATTTGAAACCTGGGAAGACCAGCAAACTATTCGTAATATTTTCAGATGCTGCAGGATACTCAACTAATAATATCATTTGAGGTTCAAGTGTTGTTCAGTGATAGATGTGATCTAATCAACTTACAGGTAACCTAAAGACTTTATTCACCTTTAACTACATTATTTGACAATACTACTATTAATGGCCCATTAAACATTTATGCAATGACTAGAGTGGGTGCCCTGTAAATGCTTAAGGAGGGAAGCGCTCGATTGGCTGAAGAGAAATTGCAGACAGCGTGCTCAACAATAACAATAGTAAGTCTAAATCAAGCCTGTTAATTTGCGGTATGTTTTAACAAATGGTTCTGACCAATAATGTAAGCACTTTCAGGTTGAACCTAAGAAGCAGACTTACACAAACTCACCATCACATAAACTGAGATGGTAATAGCACACAAATATGGCGCTATGGTGGTAATAGCACACATAATTTGACACCTTTTTTATGTTAAGAACATTGAATTAACCACAAGTCATCAATTGCATCCACCTGTTGCTAGGTGACTACCTCTTGTTACTGCCGCATCACTTTGATGTATGTTTACCATACTCGATAAAATATTCCTCAATATTATGTTAGCATGAGGAAAAGATTGTGTCTAGAAATTTTCCCATGACATGTGCCCAAATATCAAAGGTCAAACAATACGATCATCTTTGGAGGTGGGTGTTTTGACATCCAGCAGGCATCATAAACAAGTTAAAGCTGATATTATACCATAATAACACAACAAAGGAAATTGTCTCTTGGGACACGACTCTTCAACATAATTGTTTGATTTCATTTGGCAGGTCACCTGAGCAGCTTACAATTGACAGAATATTAGTTCACCGTTACTAATTTCATATCTAACTGTGAAATAACTGAAGACAGAGACACATTATTGATGAGTGTGATTTAAGTGCCGATAAGGAAATTATACCGAAGTGAGTAAGCACCATCAAGAATAAATAAGAACGATTCACAAAATAACCAACACAATGAAAAGATAAATTTCGAGTCAAATTCTAACAGAGCTAAAGATCCAAATGGTTATTCTCAAAAATAAAACACACAACTCTTAAATCATTTTTTTATTAGAAAAAAAAAAAGGGAAAAGGACTCGTACAACTGTAAACAAACAAAATAAAAGGAACCCAAAATCAATAATAAAAATAAAAACATGAGAGAATATTTTCAAAATGAACCAAGATCCATCATCAGCAGTAAATCCAGCAAAAATGAAATCTTTACTTCAAATGAAGCATAACATTCAAGGATAAGAAAAACCCAGATGAAAAAAAAAATCTAAAATTTAGACAACAAAAGAAAAGAAAGGAAATCAAGTGAAGGAAGGGAAACCCAAATGATGATCTGATCTAAACTAAATCTACAGCAGTACGCAAGAAGTAAAAAACAAGGGAAGGGAATAATACAGTGGGGCCATGAATATGATCTGAAGCAATGAATTCTTGAACATCAGAATCAGACCAAGAAGGGATTGGTTTATCACGCCTGAGGAATCTTGCATAGTTTTCAAGAAACGAAAATCTATCTCCCCAAAATCCTGTAAACCCTTCCCAGTGTTTCTTGAAAAAAGATTGCTGATGTTGTAGGTCTGATGGTTCTCCCATTTCCTTTCTCTGTATCTTTGTGATGATGATTAGCAGTGAAAATAGTTGGAGAGACGTCAGAAAAGAAAAGCGCAGCCAACCTTACCTCTTTTTCCTTAATTAAATAAAAAACTGCGGGGCAGGCCACACTCTCCAGATTTCTGTATTTAATAAAGCCTATGATTTATTGGTTGTCTAAGAAGGCAGGATACTCTACTAGGACCATGATTAATCCTGGTATTCTTTAATTAAACAGGTAACTTATTATTATTATAATGTGATTACTTGAATAGGTAATTTATTATAATATATTATTTTAAAAAGATTTGTACTTTTTAATGAATAAGTAACCTATTCTAATATAATTATCTTGATAGATAACTAATTACAATAAAATCACTTTTTAAAGTAAAAAAAAAAAGAAAAAAATTATTTTTCTCGGTATTTTCATCATTGGATAGGTCGCCTGAAACAATTAGACCACTCGCAAAACTCTTTTTGTGTTTTACTTTTCATCGAGTTGGTTGCTTGGAATAATTAGACCACTCACGAAATTCTTTTTACGTTTTACTCTTCATCGGGCAGGTCACCTGGAACAATTAGACCACTTGCGAAGTTCTTTGCGTTTCTTTTATCATTGAGCAGGTTACCCAAAACAATTTGATCCATTTCAAAAAAAAAAAAAAAAGTGAGTCGTCTTCCAAATGACTTGTTTTCTCTATAAAGGTCATGTGACAATCTACTATTTTCAAAACTAAAAAAGAATCAAAAGTTCTATGAACACTCAACCAACGATTGTCCAACCTTGCCTTCTTTTAAGGAATGTCTCCATGAACAAACCCATGCTTTAAACAATTTCCAAAGGGCCAACCACAACCCATATTCCCAAACATACAACCCTGGTTGGAGAAATCACCCAAAT